ACTGAGATGAGGGTGAAAAAAAATCAGTATCAACACAGATTCTAAGCAGATGCAAAAGGCTTCTGTGCATTCAGTGATTGTGTGTGGCCTACATGGGCTAGTTTTACATGTCCCCAAAATGCAAAAGTACTTTTTATATTCTACTTGTGATTAAAACTACAGTCCATATGTATCAACTTTGACAATGAACATGAACACAAGATAAAGTATTCAAGCCAGTAATTTGAATTCTCCCTCTCATAGGTTGATGTTTAATTCCTAAACGACTATTAAATTCCATCAGACACTCCACATTTAATATTTTTTCAGCACTTAATACTATGAAAATTTTATATTACAATTGCTTTATTAGGAATCCCTATATAATTGACAATCTTCGTTTTATCAGAACTGAGGGGGCTCAAATGAAAGCTGGTAGTGGCATACTCACAGCAAGCAGACAAAAGAAAACTTTTAGCACTTCCAGATTTACATCAAAATTTCCATGAAGTGAAACTAAAATGAAATAGTTGAAGCACTAAGAGGTAGACAGGTAAAATAAACAACTAATTTCGTACAGTGAAGTTGGGAGAGCATCATATGGACCTCATTCTGTTGTCTCCAAATTCTTTATCAGAGGGGGAAAGGGAGCTGAATAAACTTTAAACTCTCATGTAGGGATGTATTGCTTGTGTGTCCCTGGCAGATGTGGAAAGGAGATGAAATGGGCAAGGGAGAATCAAATATCCCTTCACTGCAGGTTTGCTGAGGGAAAGAGTACTGCAAAGATCTCACATCTGGCAATCATTTGTCAATAGCTGGAAAGAGAACGGCAGGAAACTTTCTGGCTCTTGGAGAAGATGAAAAGACAAAAACCATGTGTCACACACACGCACACTCACTCTGCAACAGTACAATGACTACTACCCTTATTCTCCACCCCTCACCCACCCATTTAATGATCATCAGATATACTCAACTCCATGGTCAAAAACATGCAATCACTTGACTTGTTAAAGCTGCAGTGTATGTACATTTTTCAAATAAACCCCAGGGCTGATGTTAGAAAATCAAAATCAGTCAAGCATAGACTGCCTGGTACTTTGGGCAGGAATCCTTGTGGTTTAGTCAATAAACACAGTCTGAATGAAAGACACCACAGTAACTAGACAGTAACGTTTTGAACAGTTCTTAACCTGAAAGGGGTTTGGGGGGTTGGTGCACCAGTGACCAAGGACATAAGGCTACTAGTCCACTTAAATCACTCTACCTGCAACATAACTCCACTTAGCACAAGGTCATTTGTTGTTTCTAACAGAGAAGAGAGGCAGGCAGGCAGGCAGGCAGGCAGGCAAACACAGAGACAGAGAGAATGAACATCTATTTGAGGATGTTGTAGGTGTATGCTGGGGAAATAACTTTTACAAATAAATAAATAATTATATCTATTTAAAAAGGTGGCAAGGGAAACCTCAGATTTGTTTAGTACATGCTGGTATTTACAATACAAAGAATTTTCAGGCTTCAGTATGAGTTCATAAAAATGATCAGCTTTGCTTCAATAGGTTTTATCATGTAATAAGTTTTCAAATCTCCCCACTAAAATTAAGTTAGTTATCCAAAAATCACAGGAATTTCAATCTGCTCGTAGTGATTGACAGACTTCAAGGGATAGGCTTTGGTTCACTCTTACGGTGTATTTAACTAACAGCAGCAGCCTCCAAGCTTCGCCCTGTGATTCTCCAAGTGAATGCTGCAGGTTGTTTAATAACCTGGCAAATTCACAGTGGCTTGTCAAATTATTACAGGAACAGTGTCATCACTAAACAAGCCTGATCACGGTTAATTACAATGCAGACCAGAGAGCAGCCACAATTGTTCATTAATTACAGGAAGCACCTCATTTAAATTTTATGGAAATTTACACTTGCACCCCGGTATGTCTGGAAAAAGAGTGATCCTTCACGCATTTACAGAAGAAAGGAGTCTGTGGTTTATGAAACATCACAGCAAATTGTGTCTAATCTGGTACTGAAATATTGGTTCATTATTTACTCTAATTTTCTAAGCACTTCAGTGGTAAAAAATACTAAGTCAAATCTCACATCTTGAATTCCAACCAAGAAAAGAACTGTACTAACCTAACTATGACAACTTAATATATGACAAGGAACAGTTAGACTAAGAAAGTTAACTTTTCTCTGATTAAAAAATAAAATATTTATTGGCAATTAAGAGAGACCTAAACTAGAAAAACCATTTCCCACACAATAACTGCCTAACAGCACAATTCTTTGCTATTACACATCAATTAACTGGCCAAGAGTACCCAGTTTCACACCTGTAATAAAGTAACAAAAGAAAATAAAGTTAGTAATTCAAGTCTTGACTTCCAGCTATTTTACTAAATCAAACATTAACACCAAAATAGAGCAGATACCCTCACAAAGGTCAAACCACACACAAACTTGAAAGATAACAGTCGTTCAGAGTCAAAAATAAATCCATGGAAGAGTATGGAATTCTGGGATTGCAAAATTACATTGCTACTAAGTCTGAAGTTGGGCTGGTGATATAGCTCAGTGGTACAGCTCTTGCCTGGCAAGTGAAAGGCCATGAGTTCTATCCCCAGTACAGAAAGAAAGACAGACAGACAGACCGATAGACATCTGAAGTTTTCGGAATAGAAGGCAAGTTTTAAAAGAAAAAAAGTAGCAGCAAGGTGTTTCCACAGTCATGTGAACTTATGTCAGCTAAAATATAAAACTAAACTAGTTATGAAGGTATGTAGCTAAAAGAAAATCCTTTTTAAGAAAGGATAAAGAAACTGTTGCTCCTAAATTGAGGCATATAGAAGATTATCCTCAGAATCAAGAGGTCAAAGAGTTAATCCCTAGTGGTTACAAACCCTGCCCCTAAGTAAGCCCTAAGATCCACCCAAGAAAAGTGGACAACTCTGGCAGTCCTGCACAGATTTTGAGTTCCCTGAAGTGTTGAGCTAGACTACAAATTTAGAAATGGCTTGTTCCCCAAGACATAAAAAAAGAAATGAGCCAGATGCATGCCATGGCAAGAGTGAAATGAGACAAAGCTAAAAAGTACTCCTGGAATTGTTAGCTGATGAAGTACATATGAAGTGTAAAGTTTATTATGACTTGATGGATATAGTAGACATTGTGTTTTTAACATGTGTGGAAGCCACATTCAGGAGGGAAAAGTAGAAAATGAAAGAGGATGCCTAAGAGGGTCCCAGTTAATTCACCAATTTACCAGAGTTGACAGTCTTTTAACAGATTCAACCTTCCCGCTCAGTTCACCAAAATGGTGTTACAAGACAAAAAAATCCAATAATGTGATCACTTTCATTACTTTGTTCAAGAAATTGATCTTTTTTGCAAGACCCATAATGAATTGTCAACCACACAATCTGTTTACCTACAGCCTGAGTTTCACTTAAACTTGTAAATTAAATATACTTTTTCTCCTTTATTATGTCAAAACAACATGTTCCCCAGGTCTTTTACAGTTTTATTTCACACTTTCACATCCGTAAAACCCATTTTCTTCACACTGTAACTCAAGGTTCAAAAACAGATTATCCAGCAGTCACTCATAACGTATCATTGCAGGTGATGTGTTTGAAAACATCACTCATCCTACCCAAAGAGGTCAAATATCAGACTACTCTCCACGAAAAGTCTTCCATCACTCTGCATTTATGTGTCACACACAAGCTGTTAGCTTTCTAGAAGTAGGCAATACACAATCATGTCTCAGATGTGTCACACCTGTCTTTCTGTTGTACCACAGCCATACACCACCCAGACAGTACCAGCTTGGAGCACAGCAAAGCTCAGGTGGTCTTTCCTAGGCCAAGAGCAGGTGTGCAAGAGATGCTATACCCAACAGTGCCATAAAAACTGAAATCTCCTCCCTTCCACCACTTCCTCCCTAACTCCTGCTGTGAAGAAGTCAATTTTTAAAAGTGTTTTCATTTCTCAAATGGGGTATCTAAATCAGTAAAAATGTTGCAAAGCTGAACTCACTATGTTCATGCTACAAGCCTGAAAATTTAGAAAAACAATAACAAGTGGAAGCCTTTGAAAAATAATAATAATATAAGTTTGCTCCTACTAGATGGCATCTACGTTGAAATTTCAGCAAGTATCTTTGCGATAATTAGAAATAAGAACATGTATATGTATATTTACATATCATAAATGATATGTATATTTTTAATTTGTAAGATACTAAAAGTGCTAGTGCCTCAAGACTGTACCACATTAACTAAAATCAAAACCAACATTTTTAGAGGAAAAAATGTACTTTACACATATCTCTCAATCCATAAAGACACACAATACTTATCATTAAAGTCCTGCTTTTCTTGTGGTGTGCCCACTCAGGCTACTGTTGTAAACTCAGAAACCAGAATATAGGAAGCATGATTTATCCCCAATTTAGCACGTGATAATGATGATTCTGAGAGATGAGTGAGCTAATAATACACATTCAATTCCTCTTACATGCCACTCCTAGTGCTGTTACATACAAATTAGGTCATTTAATCCTCATAATCAACTTTTGTGGTTAATTTTCATTTTACAGATGACAAAAGTAAGGCTAATATAGGTTGAATGACTTGCCAAATATTCAGTTACTTTTTTGAACCTAAGCAGTCAACCTTCGAAAATCATGTTTCTGTCTACTACAAATTAAAATACCACTCCCACCACCACTATACTGGAGGTGGAACCCAAAACCTCACACATGCTAGGCAAATGCTCTATTAATGAGCCACATTCTTAGTCAAAATATGTTTCTTGAATGAATAAACTGCCAGGTACACAAAATTCATTCTGAAAAGAGCCTTTTGCTGCACATACATGTTACACTGGTTATTCGTCACACCTGTCTCAATGGTTATCTTGTCCTAATAGCACTGCTGACACCCAAATGGTCTTCAGGGAACACTGTTTCTGTCACACCTCCCCCAGCTGATAAAACAGTAAGACTCCAACCTGGACTTCCAGCCTCTGGTCTGGCTCCTCCAGGTTTGGGCAGAAGTCTGCACCCAGCACTCTGCCAGCACATGCCAATGGAACCTGGGGGAATACGGCCGGGTTAGATGCTGGGTAGAGAGGCTGCTAGCAACTGCACATACTCACATATGACCAGAAGGAAGTGGGGCCACCCCAACTGCAGGGCTGAAACAAGCCAGCATGGCTAGATGGGTGTTTAACAGTTGGGTGTTTAACAGATGGGTGTTTAACAGCATATATATCAAATACATGATAATATCACAAAACCTACGTTAGTCACTCTAAGAAGAAGAATTTCGAGAAGAAAAGATTCACATAGACTTTTGTTCCCTCTTGTACTTACTGCATGCAACACAAAGTAGGCATTTAATAAATATCCACAGACAGGAAGAAGGAAGTAAGTTAGAAAGGAAAGAAATGGGGAAGGGGAAAAGACTGAAACAATCTCTACTGGACATTGACAATTCCTTTTGTTCTTTAATTGTCTTCTTAATTATAACAATTAAGTAAATTATATTCAATGGTGCTTAAAGTTCTTTTCTACTCTTGCAATAACTGTTTAAATTTAGTTTCCCTGTTCTTAGTACAGGCTAACACAAACAGGCCTGTAGGTACCAACCAATAATGTATTTATTTACAAGTGATGATCAAAAAATACAATGAATGCTTTAAAATTTAATGTGTTACTGTGAAAGATACACTGCCATTAAATACTCAAAATACTTTCTCTTATTTCATAAAAACTTATCCCACTGTCCTCGTTTTAGAAGTCCTCTTCCATGTTTTTAGTTGTACAGTCCTGGCTGCCTTGATATCCTCAATAAATTCAAAGTGTTTACCTTTCATGGTCATTTTGACCTTGGGCAGAGTCAAGTCTTACAGTACCAGACCCAGTGAAAAAGGTGAATAAAGATATACATCCATGGTAATGTCTTTATTTCACATAAATGACTATAAACATTTGATCAAAAAGGATGATTAAAAATATCATGAATATTTAAAGATTACAATAAGAGATACATTGCCATTAACCTTTCTAAATACGCAAAAAAATCCCTCTCACTTAGAACATACTTATTCCTCATTTGTTAGCAATATAATGTTTTAATATAGTAAGTTTTATATAATTAAACATTAATTATATTTTCAATTACCTCTGAATACATAGTTACTACTTTAAGAACTTTGGTTTACAAGTATATTCTTTTTTTTTTTTTTTTTTTTTTTTTTGTCTTTTTCATTTTTATCGGTACCGGGGATTGAACTCATGACTGCCTGCTTGCAAGGCAGGTACTTATGCCACTGAGCTAAATCCCCAGCCCCTACAAGTATATTCTAATAAAAATGAAAGTAATAAGGCTATGATTTCATTGATATTTTGCAATATCTAGAATTCTACAATGAAACTCATAGACTCCCTTAAAACTGTGTCATATATTATAATTACTCAATATAATTCCCAAATGTTGACTGTTGCTTATTTTAGATTTTTAAGGCAAAGAAAAGAGGACTTAAATTTCATCTATACCTATTTTCTGCTTTTAAAGATTTCTCTAAACTGGAGATGTAGTTCAGTAGTAAAGCATTTGACTAGCAAGCACAATTTCCAGCACTGCAAAAGAATGAATGAATTCACAATGTTTCTCTTATTGCTACACATTACATGCAGTCTTCACTAATCATGTACCTACCTATATGTACCTAAATCTTACTACATCAAAAAGGGGAATCTCAATTCCATCTTTCTATCAATCAAAATATTTCTTTGTGTTTTTTGGGTATTTTTAACATTTGAATTAAGATCATCTATGCTAATCAATTATCTGTGTTCAGAGATCAGTTTTTAGCCACATATGTTTATGTTGCTTTAGGTGTTTCTTTTAATTCAGAAACCAGTTTGCTTTTCAAAACAAATAATTCTCAAAAACTTCATTTTGCATTTGTAAATATTAGCAATATGAAGGTCAGCATTCAGTTAATTCTTCAAATATTTTTGATCCAATTCTCTCTTTTCTAAATCTCTTGTTCATTTTTCCTGCCAATGCTCACAAGGTGAAACAGACAGGTCATCTGCTGTCTTTAAAAGTAATAAATGAATGTATACCCTTAAATCTATATCCTCCTAACATTTGGAAGGTCCATGTGTCAAGGAAGTCAACATGTGGGCAAGTTACATATACGTGTTTCCCATCATGACCTTGTAAGCCATGTGCACTTCCATTTTACACACAAAAACTTCAATTTAGAATAGATAAGTAATTCAGAGGCACATGCTATGAAGTCACAAACCCAGATTCAAACTTAAGAAATGGTACAGACTGAAACCATGAAAGTAGTTTAAAAAAGAGGGGAGAGGGTTAATGACCACATTTAGAAGAACCCATTCTAAAGGCATTTACTGATGTTTCATATGAAAGATATTACAAAGAAGACAATAGAAGAAATGAAAAAGTGCTATCAAAAAGCAAAACCTATGGTACATGTGCTATTGCATTTCTCTTCTAAGAAAAAGATGTTAAGGGGCTGGGGATTTAGCTCAGCGGCATAAGCGCCTGCCTTGCAAGTGTGTGGTCATGAGTTTGATCCCTGGTACCGATAAAAAGAAAAAAGACAAAAAAAAAAAAAAAAAAAAAAAAAGAAAGAAAAGAAAAAGATGTTAATGGATGATGTTAATGGATGAGTTGTTTTGTGTAAACTAAAACCTCAGGATTCCGGTTTAACCACAGCGTAGGCACTCTGCGATAAATAAGTGAGCTTTGGGTTGCAATTTTGGCACTCAGTCTCTAAAAGGTTCTAGGACAACATAAGCAATGTAGAAGGGAATTTACTCTCCAAATTGAGGAATAGGAAAAGAATCAGGCATAGAGTAGAGCAGATACATCAGGAATTTTGTTGTGCCACACAAGGAGGTAACACTGACTCCACCCCTCAGCTGAAGTATGAGGGTGCACTAATGAGTTCTATAGCAGTAATTCCCCCTAGGGAGCAACACAAGAAAGACGAAAAACCAATCTAAATGTTCCATATCAAAATGAAACTTCCAAAAAGGCTTCTTTTAAAACTTCAACAAATGTGACTGTTAGAATGATTGAAGCACCCTCCCCACTGTGAGCAACCAACTGATTCAGAAGAACTGTGTTCTTGGATTAAAGCTGCAAGCCTAAAGCCAAGCAACTATTTAGAGAACAATAATATGCAATGTAGTAACCACTGTAGATTTCCTATTGTCTTATCATTGTTGTTTTATTCCCTTTAAAATTAAATTAAAAAACAAGATGACTGAAGCAAATTCCATAAACCACAATACATGTTACTATAAATTATGTATAAGCAATTCTTTATTTTACATATACAAAAGAAATTCCTACATACCTTAATATTATTTGACTAAATCAAAAATACTAAGCTTCTAGTTGCTTTTTATCCTTAGTCACCGAATGAACTTATAAACATTCTCAAGAGGAAAAGAGAAAGTTAAACAACTATAATTATATTCAATTATAACTTCAGACACTTAGAAACAGTTTCTGAGGGAAAACAACAAAGTCTATGAACACACTGAGGAGGAAATGGTGCCAAGTACCAGTATGTTTAAACAATTCTAATCACAAAAAGGAACTAGTAGTGAAGTAGGTGACACTTTCAAATTTAGAGTACTACAGGGTTTTTTTGTTTTTGTTTTTGTTTTGTTTTGTTTTTGAGACAGGGTTTCACTCTACAGTTCAGGTTGGCCTTAAACTCACTCTGTAGCCCAGGGTGGTCTTGAACCCCTAAAGATGCTCCTGCCTCTGTTTCTGCAATGCTGGGATTACAGGGGTACACCACCAAGCCCAGTTCAGAACACTACAATTTCTGAGCAGAAAAAAATGTATAAGCATCCTTGAAAGCGAACTCCCATATTTTAGAGATGAAGAAATCAAGATTCAAATGAAACCCGCAGAGCTGGGGATACAGTTCAACATATAGCGCATGTCTGGCAAGCGTGAGGTCATGAGTTCGATCCCTGGTAACCAAAAAAAAAAAAAAAAAAAAGAGGCAAGTCCCTAGGTAACCTGGAAGGAATGTCTCCCTTACAAACCAAAACTGCTTAGTTTACTAACAGATTATGATCTGACACTACTCAATATTCTCATCATAAGCAGTGTCATCAAGTATCAGAGAGGAAATTTTTTAAAAAGCAAAGACAACCATATCTCTTAATTCATCAAATCATATCAAGGAAAATAGTAAAGAGATAAGTAGGTAACTTTGTAACTTGGCATATCTCATTCTGCATTTTGATTCAGATACCTCAGAAGATACCTAGGTATCTATAAGCAATAAAACAAAACTGACAGAAACAGCAGATAGATTATCTCATTGGTAATTCACTGTAAATTAAGATAATAAAACATACTGCGTACCTAACCATTTTAAACTGACGGGGGATTTAACTTTATCCACTTTCTTTCATTTCTAGCAGTTAAATGTTAAGACAAAGCACCCTACAATGATTTATACAAAATGCTCATAGTGATTAAGATTTGAAGACTTTTAGCTTTTACTCTGGGCATTTTTATTTTTGCTTTTAGAGTAATAAAAATTCAAACTAAAAACAAAGATCAATCGTGAACTGATCAGCCAATATTTTCCAAATGTTATACCACAGGTTTAATGACAGGATGGTAAACTGTCTAGAACTGATACATTTCCCTCTGCTGGTGCTTGTAACAGGAAGTGAGAGGCCTTGCAAGGGACCCTGTAAAATCCCTAGGGTGAGCTGAAGCTGAGTGCCTCTCTGTGCTCCTGTACACACCTCAAAGGAATCATGGTGTGTGTGAGAGCTATTTACAACTTACCATGTGTATAATCAGCAGAAACAAAAGATATGACAACGAGCATAAAGGCCTCTCAGGAGAATTCAACAAGGAAGGGCAAGTGGGCCTTCACTTCAATGTCAAAAGGGCTTCCAGAAAACACACTTTCTATGGGGCAGGGAGGAAATGTGGCAGGCTTCCCACCCTACCCCCACCCCTTCCCACACACACACATTTTGTTTACTAAGATCCCATATAAAAACTATT